CCCGGCAGCGGCGCAGGCGCGGCGGGGGCCGCGGGATCGCAGCGGGCTCGGGGCGGCGGGCGCGGAGCGGGCCCAGCATGTCGGAGAAGAAGCAGCCGGTGGACCTGGGGCTCCTGGAGGAGGACGACGAGTTTGAGGAGTTCCCGGCCGAAGGTGCCGGGCGGGGGCGGCACGGGACGGGCGGCGAGACCGGCAGGCCGCGGCCTGCGGGCGGGCCGGGCGGGCGCGGCGGTGGGCCCGGCGGTGGGACCGGGGCGCCGTGCGCGGCCTGCCCGCGGGCCCCGCGGCCGCTCCGCGCGGCAGCGCCTGCTGCCGCTCCGCCGGGCCCCGCGGAAGCTTCCCCGGAGCCCCGCGGGCCCTGCGCATCCCCGCCCGGCGGGGCCGCAGCGCCGCCGGAGCCGCGGGCGGGCGCGATCGCGGTGCCCGTGCCCGGCGCGGTGCCGCTGTCGCGGCGCTGGGCGCGTGGCGCTGGATGTGCTGTGTCATCGTGCGAGAGGGCCGGGAACGAGTGCGGGAGAAATTTAACTGCTTTTTGACACCGAAGCGCAGGGCAGAGGAGGGATGAGGGCTAGAAACCGAGCCTAAGTTGGAAACGTGTGAAAATGAAATACTGCGCTGTGTAGTTACTCTTAGTCTCTTTGCTTATTGAAGCACAGATTTGTGTATGCTAGTTTGCTTTTAATAGGTACAGATATACTTAAAACGGAAGTTAAATTCAATTAACTCAGTGTCTCTTGACAGAGATAGTCTTGGAATCATCTCTATTAGGGCATATTAGCTTTTTATGTCCTTAATTCTTTCTCAGGTTGTGGATCATGACAAATGATATATATCATGATGAATGTAGCGTCAGGATTTTTTTTTCTCTAATGTCTTTATTGCATGTGGTTTTTCTGTGACCTTACAAGCCTTAGGTGTTCTGAATCCTTTAGTTCTGCTAAAATTAATATTTTTGCGGGTACTGATAAAGTTCATGACGTAGTTAGGATGTTAGCTAAAATAAACTTACAAGACTATATTTTCTTTTTCACACGTGTTTCCTAAAAAGAGAAAAAAAAAGGTCAGTCTTATTTAATGTGAATTAACTAATCGCAGTAGAGGAAGTCTCTGAAGCTTTTGGACCTTGAATTGGGCAGAGCCCTGACTTGCTGTTATAGAAGGTGAAATTAGTTTTGCTTGACTCTAGCTGTAATACTAAAGCAAAGTACTCTGCATGCTTTCTGGGTGGAACAGAGATTTATTAAAAAGGCTTCTAGATGTTCTTTCTTGCAGAAAATAAGAACTTCTAAAAGGGTTCATTTGAATCCTCAAGTGAGGTCCTAGTTTTGAGATGTTGAGTGTTCAGACCACTTTGTCTGCTATCTCCAGTATTCAGGAAAGAACTGTGATAACTGGGCTCAAACACATTCCAAATTGTTGTTCTTTCAAATTAAAACACCACTTTGTAGCAACGACTTCTACTACCCAGTTTTTATCCAAAGGAAATTAGATAATGCAAATCTAGGATAAGGGATGAATACATGGACTTTTGGGGTTTATTCCAACCTAAAAATTTACTGAAACAATTTATGAAATCAACTCATGTATCAAAACCAGACGTGCCCAATTTTTATAGGATTCTTTGAAGTATAGCATAAGTATACTATAGTAGATGAAAATACATGTAAATGAGTCACTTAAGAATCTTTTGTACAGTGTATTTCAGAATATAAAAATATAAAGTGATGGAGCAGGGGATAAAGAGCCCTAAAATCCTAAAATTTGTTTTTTGTTTCCCAAGTAGAAAATAAAACAATCAGTGATCAGCATATAAAAATATATTTTTAAGTAGTTCAGACATGACGAGTTTATAATTGTGGTGTATATTAGTAATACTTAATGGTAGTGGACTTTTAAGTGCTCTTAATACTTTCAATCCCAGATAATGCTCTACCTTCTTTTACTTTTGTTTAGTCACAGGCTTATAATGTAGCAGGGAGTAATAACTGTATTATACAATTCTGGGGTAATAGTTTCAATATACAGATGTTGCAGAGTCTTGTCCTGCGGGGATGAGAATGTCATTAATTTAGGCTTTACTTTCACCCTCCTCCCCACCCAGCAAGGGAGATGAGATGGACCTTTCTGACTCCCCTTTACTCAGTATGATTCAGAGCATCTTTTTGCAGTCTGCCCTGCTGATCTTCTGCGACTGAAGCTGCTGTTTCTTGTGCTGGATATGAGTTACTGGGAGATTTTTTTTTTCAAGTTTGTAGTTCTGTCTGAGCTACTTATATGTTTGTAGATAGAAAAGTTTGACTTTGTGTTAATTTTAAATTGTTTGTTTTGTTTTTCCTCTCTTCAAAATCCAGTTAATCAGTAAAGTTTCTTTCTTGAAAAAAAAAAAAAATCAATGGAATATAAACTGGCAAGGGCAAAGCTTATTGAGGTAGCTCTAAAGGATAAGCCCTTCCCTTTGAGCAACTAGCAATACAACTAAATCCAAATAATGCATATTTATATACAACATTTTTTCTTCACCTTTTTTCCCCAGTTCTTTTCTTTTGCTCTCACAGCGCAATTTCTACGCTCCTTCATCTTTTCCCATTATATAATTTATTTGAGTAGGGAAATTTAATTGTAATGCCTTCCACACGTGTGTCTTTAATCAGTGACAAATGGATTTTCCTGTCCTGGCGAATCTCAAATATTAATTTTGTTGCCTGTCAGTGTTAGAAAAAGGAGGAGAAAATGCAAAGACCAGGCTTCATTCTTAGAAAGTTAGGTGTTCACAGTGAATTAGTTTTTGATGTTTTACCCCACTAACTTTCTCCCCTGCTCCCTCCATACCTCCATCAGTGTTTAATGTTACTTTAGGTCTTAGTCCTCAAAGCTTTCTGTGCATGGGCAGCAGATGGCTTACTAGAATGACAGGGGAAGATCAGTGTTATCTCTTTAAATACAGTAATAGACTTTGAGAAATAAAAAGTTGCAAGTGTCAAAATTAGGGGGCTTCTTTTTTTTAACATTTAAAAAACTGTGCGTCTTTCAGTAGGAATAAACTGAGAAACTAAAAAAAATCAAGTAAGCCAACTTATGTTTTCATAGTGATTCTGAGCCTTTAATTTTCATTATTTTTCTGAACTATTTTGTTTGGTTTTAATTTTTTTTCTAATAATGAAGCATTATGTGTATGATGAGTAATTTGTCAAGGGTGATGTGCCAGATTACGTATTATAGGAAAAATATAAATAAAGTTAGTAAATGGACATAAAGTGTTTCCCTACAAAGGCAAGACAGCTTCTGCTGTCTCGGGAACCCCAAAATAGCTGATTAGAGGTATCAAGTGCTGTTTGCG